GATTAAACAGATCTCTGGCTGGAAGCAGGACAGCATAATCAGGCTGGTAACGAAGTTGGTCAAGTTCTGAAAAGACCTCATTGTGTCCCCCCTTCTCGCTCCGGTTGGCAATCCAGTGTGGGTGTTCTGCAGGGACGAGGGGACCCTCAGTGGTGCCCCGCCCTCCGCACCGCCAGCTGGTGGATGTGGTGCCACAGGAGCGAGGGGTCCGACTCATTGTGGAGGATCAGAGACTCCAAGCCCTCTGCCTGGTCCAGGCTTTGCCAGTAGTCCTGCGGCCACATCTGCGCCCAGCTACAAAACACACACACGCCACCCTGATTATTCACAGGCATGTTGTGAAAATCTGTACGTACAACCCCATGCAGGGAACAGAGCCATGGATAAGACATATATCAGAAATGCACCGAACAAAATTTACTGCCAGCTCTCATCGTCAAAGCAAACACACTGATCTTCTGCAATTCACCTGTGAGCGTATCATTTATTACATGGTAAATTGTTTTCATACCTGTTACTGACCTGTCCCTGTAACAAAACATATCATTCTGATTAATATTACAGGTTAATCAGGTTAATTCTGCCTTCTCGGAGGAGTTTGAATGTTTTCCCTGCATTTACATGGGTTTTTGCTGGGTGTCCTGGCGTCCTGTCACAGCTGAAGACTTGCTGTCATCTCTGAACCGTTCATGTGCGTATGTGCCCTGAGATGCCCTGAAGTCCCGGTTCTAGGCTTCACCTTGCCTTGGGCCTGTTGTCAGCTGGGTTAGGCTCTGGCTGACTGCAATCCTGGACTGGACTACTTCTAAAAAGGTTCTAAAAAGGGATTTTTGTTTTACATTGATGAAACTCCTCATCAAAATGACTTTTCAGTGGTTACAATTATGTCATTTTTATGCATACAGTTTTGGGACCAATTAGGATAGCTGGGAGCCCTAGAGCACCCTGGGTGCCAGACTGTTCCAAGGGGCAGTGGCGGCATCCTCACCTGGGATTTGAACCCGTGATCAGGAGGCCCAGATGCTCCCAGGGTTGGGACTGTAGGGAGTTCGCGGACACAATGAGCTGCGGGCAGCCCAGCCCGACTCACCTGTCATTCTGGGGGATGTCCTCCGGTTGGCCATAGCCGGGGGCGGGCAGGGGGCAGCCCATGTGGGAGTTTCTGGCGATGCGGGGCGGGGGGGGCGGGACACTGGCGGGGGCGCGGCGGTGGGCGCGCTGGGCGGCCAGACGCTCGTTCTCCCGGTCGCACACGAAGCACTCGAAGCCGTTGAGGTAGTTGGGCTTGGTCATGTCGTTGACCCCCCACTCGCGGGCGCGCAGGGCCTCCCGCAGGGGCCCGTTGACGACCCCGCCGGGACGCTTGAACTCCAGGAAGCGGGCGTACGCGGCGTCGTCGGCGTCCAGCTGCCGCAGGAAGTCCGCCAGGGCGCGGGGCGAGGGGAAATCGTCCACGAGCACGGCGGAGCGCGGGCTGGGCAGCCAGTCGGACGCCGAGGCCGAGCCACGGTACACCGGCACGCAGCCCAAGTGCAGGGGCCGCCAGAGCTTCTCCGTCATGTAGTCGGGGCAGATCCCGTTCTCCAGGGCCAGGTGGAACTTGTACCGCGACACGAAGCTCATGAACTCGCTGTCCTCGCCCGTCGCCGTCTCCGTGTTCTCCAAGCGCTCCGGCAGCTGCCTGTTGTTCAAGCACTTCCCATAGGAATCGACCTGGGAACAGAGGAGGCAGATGCTGCACTCACCCATCCAGGGCTGTGTTCGCATTGGAGCAACACGAAACTGAGTGGGGACGCAGTGTAAAAGGGATTGTTTTTGGGAACAGGGAAGCAAGGGGGGAGAAGGTATATATTCTACAGCACATGTGTAATACAGGGTATTAACCTTATGAAGAATCCTAACTCTTCAAAATAAGCACTCCCGAAAAAGCACCTTCCTGCGGTGCTTCCAAATCCGTCTTACAAATATCACTTCTGTCTGCAAGACCCTCTGCTTCAGACCCTGCATCTCGCCCAATCTCCCACATACACATGTGCTGTTGTCTGCTCCCTTTTCGTGCTTTCCTGCAGTTGTATTCTCTTTAGGGCAAGCGGCACATTTGGGCCTGCCTATATTTAGTTTGGATCCGAGTGTGTGTGCACGCTCGTGCGAAGGGTCCGTTAATTCGGCACGACTGCAGAAGGCGCGTGTTTATGCAGCGTGGAGCAAAGAGAATGGGCCCGTAAGTGTGACGCTGCGGTCTCCGTCGCGGTGCTGTGGAATGCGCGGGAGAGCGAGGGGTCCCGGAGGGCGGTACCTCAATGTACTTCATGAGCTCCCGGACATAGCGATCCCGGTCAGAGGGCACATCACAGTGGGACTGCATGTACAGGACCGGCGCCAAGCCGGCCCGGCGCCAGCGGTTCTTCTCCTGCAGGGAGACGGCGGGCGGCTGGAGCAGGTACTCCAGAGAGGGCAGCCACTGCAGGGTCAGGGGGTAATCCGACTCCCGCCTGAAGGTGGCAGTGTAGTTGAAGAGGCGGATGGCGGGCGCGTGGGACAGGACATAGTTGTTCATGGGCGACTCCTCGTGGAACAGCGCCCACGTCTGGTGGGGCAACCGGGGCAGGGGCGCCTCGTAGGCCCGGAAGTCGGTGCCGTAGAAGATGATGGCGGCGGTGCGCCGCTGCAGCTGCACCTTGCGCTGGCGGGTCACGAGGCAGGAGGAGCGGGCGCAGTCGACGCGCTCGGTGTCGCCGGGGAAGTGGGGGAACAGCCCTGCGCTCCACCACAGCAGGATGGGCAGCTCCCTGTTGCCCCGGGTGTCGTTGTTCCCAGGCCCGCGGTAGGAGGCGGCGACGGCAAACTCCACGTCCGACAGCGCGCTCTGCGGCCCGAACGCCTCTGCGTCCGCCGGCTCCCAGCTCCGACACAGCGCCGCCCAGGACAGAGCCAAGCACAGGACCCCTGGCGCCCTGTCCCACCCCCTCCTCATCTCTCCTGGCCCTCTGCAAAGCAAACACAAAGATACTGCCAATGTCCTTCTCACTCACTCCTAGATTTCAGGACGTCAACAGAGATGGAGTACCACTCTACTTAGGGGCGGCCTTCTGACTCTATTTGGTCTATCGCTGTCGTGTCCTAGTGAACCCACGTGAACATGTGTGTCCTAGTGAACCCACGTGAACTTGCATGCCCTAGTGTTGAAAAAATGTTTACCCTCTAAAACTCCTGAAATTTGAGGCAACAGCAGGTCTGCTTTTTCTCAGTACAAAGAACAGTCCTAGCCTGTATTACTTTATACTTTATATATTACTGATGGGCAGTCGGAAATATACGATTGTGATTATTATATGTGATTAATATGTGACTGGGTCTGAATTCATCACACTTAATTCAGAGTGATTTACAAGAAATATATGAAATTTATATCAGGGAAGGTGTACCATCATGTACACCCAACGTAATAAAAATGAAAAATAAGGCTTAACTCAAGTGGAACTGTGATGCAAATGCTGCACTAGGTTAAATTGCAGGATTTAATCAAGTCCTCTTCCATGTTGCCTGTATATGCCTGTTAGTTCAATCCTCTCGCCTTTTGCAACTTAAAAAAATCAACAAGAATATTTGTTATGACCTAACTGACCTTGAAACTGCTGTCCACAAAAAACTGTGCCACCTTCACTGACTGTGGATCTTGATCAGTTTAGGAAATACTTAGACATGATGTGCAGAAAGGCATCAAGTCTGTAGAATTTTGAATCGCCATATGCCTTTCTGATGTGGAACAAACTAACAAATTTACTTTGTACTGCTGTATCCTGAGTGCTGAGGTTTTTTTTAAAGGAACCATGACCCTGACAATACCAAGCAGCAATAAACACAGCCTGATGGTATGGCCTCCGTGTTTACAGGGAATAAGAGTTGTAAGCTAACCACACTGCCAGTCTGAAGATCTCAGCTGCTGTCTAAACAGACTGAAGGTTGGGCAGAGCCTGATTTCTGTGGGTAGTTCGTTCCCCCATGAAGCAGAGAGGGTGGAGAAACTGTGGGCACAGAAAGTGTGTCAGAACAGGAGAAATGGAAGGCTGGAGGGGGTTTAGGGAGACATAAGGGACCGAAAATTGGCAGAAGCACACTGCTGAGGTGGGCTGAAATGGAGCTGGGACAGAGATAGAATGGAGCGACTGCAGTAAGGAAACATGAGAAAAGCAAGGAAGAGAATAGTGGAGTAGTCTGGGTTTATCTGCAGGAGAATTTCCCTTCGGGATCAATAAAGTCTTATCTTAAAATCACAGGGAGAAAACGAATATCATACCAAAACAACTCAAAGCTCTTTATACTCTTTATACTTTATATAAGCTCTTTTAAAAAATTAGACTCACAAAAACTAAAATTAAACAGAAAACAACGCATAATAACATTATGATAAAAATAAAAACTTTTGTAAGAGACGTCTGGACGACAGGAGCCTGGATGAATTATTATTCCGGGAAATTCTTTGAGTGATAAAAATGTAAGACGATGACTGCACTTTCTCTGTTGTGGTAAAGCAAATAAACATTTCTCGTTGCACGAAAGCAAAGCTCATGTCTCGAATATCCCGTTTAGCTAAGCGTGTGGACAGGACGAAGCCCAGAAACTTAAAACACACCCCATAGTACCGCACAGAAAACCGAGTCCCCGTAGTGTACTTGTACAACAGAAAACAAAACATTTTCCAAACTGCGGGTATCGTGGATGCAAAACGGCTGGGAAATTTCCCCCGTTTCCGTTTTTAATGCCCACGTACACATCTCACATCACATCACTGGACGAGACGCTATCCCTCCCGCAGATTGACCAGCACAGAGTTCAATAAAAAAACACACACACACAGTGACAGATACATTTGAAACGAGTAAACTCATAAAGATACCCAAAATATGCATCCTACCGTTTCCAGAAGGAAGCATAAAAATTGCTTGGACGGCCTCTGGAGGCGACTGTGTGTAGTGTGTAGTGTGTAGTGTATACTGTACGTCTGACCACCCGCTGGCGTGGTGCAGGAAGTGACTGGGAAGAGGGGGGATTAACCACTGAAATAGGATTTATTTTTACGCTTGGCTGGAGGAAACATTTGAATATTTAAAATGAACCTCTCGGTCGACCATAAATGTTTAGAAACCTACATCGCCGTTCCGTAAATCCCAGAGAATTATGTTTATGTCGCGCACGGATACATTTCCCGATCCAATTTCACCACAACCCAGCCTCCTTTCGGCCACCAGGCGAAAAACCCGACAACCCCTCACTCGACGTGCCCGCCCCCAGTGGGGCTCGGGAGCGCGCACGGTCACGGAGGTGAGGACGGAGACGCGCGGCACCTGCGAGTGCGCGTTTAAATCTCGGCGAGAAGTGCGGAGACAACAGAGAGAGAGACGTGGGTCGCGCCAGGGCTGATCAGGATGAGGTAAATCACCCTACCGTCACGGGTCCTAGCTATAGTGACCGAAAGTGAACGTTTACTGTCGGATATTGGACCGGTTCTCCTGTGTATGTGGCGTCCCAGATTGATAGATTTTAAAGCTATTGTACGAATGCACAATGCAGTCTGGTGCAAAAGAAAATGTCAAGAGATTTGCAGAAATGCACCAGAGTTGCGTTGCCTGCAGGCAGAACACAATGCGTTTGTGTTTCGGGGCTGGGGTGAGCTCGCCCAGAGTGCGGCAGCTGGCTGTGTTGCTGCTGTCATTATTAATGTTTAGCGTGCCAGTAAAATAGTGAGCGTAAGTAAACTCATGACAGGAGGAGCTTGCGCAATGTGAAGCCGGCTCCTTCCTGCCAAATAGTGCCCCGCAAGCGGGGCTATGTGTGCAGGCGCCGAGATGGGAACACTGTGGGGGAACTTCTGTTTGTCCGACAGTGTGAATTAATGATAATAAAAAAAAAACTGCTTGCAAACTTGCTTGATTCAGCCGGCCCCATACTCGGAACTCATCCGGTTATTTACTTGTGTTGTCGATGCGGGTTTCGGAACTCGTCTCTCGTTTCACATCCCTATTCTGCACGTCTGACATTCATCCGTCTGTGCCCGCGGGTTCCTCTTTAAACACAACGTGGTTCTGTCCGCACAGAGCCTAGCCCTGGACCAGCCGTGTGTCTCATGGGTGGTTGTCTTTTTTTTTCAGTTCTTAATCCCAGGCTAGCTCATCGATATCGGTTTTTCCATCTGTTCGGGGGATTATTTGTAATTTTGCTTTCAGCTCTTAAAAGGTCAAACGGGAGGTGAGACGCGGCTCAACCCCGTTCGAGATATCTGAATTTCAGAACTGCCCTCGTACAGGCGTGTCGCCTCGGGTCTAATCAATCACACTGAGCCCCTGCTGAAGGAAAAAAAAAAACGCTCATTCTGGGTGTGTCTGATATACAGTGTGCCTTTCTGTTCATCATCTAGTCAGTGGAAGCAGACCTCCTACAGCAGGGTATTCTTACCCTGAGGGCTGACCGAAGAAATGAGTTGCTTAAAAGTCTAAACAAGCAAGCAGGTCGATGAAGTAATCAATTAGCACTGGAGCTGTAGAGCTCAGCTGTAATGAAAACCTACAGGAAACCCCCAGGATCAGGGCTTGGAACCACTGACGTAGATACCAGCACTGAGTGACTTTTGAGTCCATTTTTCATTTTCTTGAATGCCACAGGGTTAGAGCAGGGGTTCCTAATTCTGGTCTTGTCGGCTTTCGTTCCAGCCCTCCTCTCTGATACAGAATAAAACCCCTAGTTGAATTCATAACCGGACTGCTTTCAAGTCTTGCACATGTTGCTTTCAAGTCTTGCACATGTTGGAAGTTGTCTTTTGACTATTGCATTTTATAAATGTAGTAAGATCCCAAACCTGGAGTAGAACCTGCAAGGTATTCAGATTCAAACAACTTGTTGACTCAATGAAGGCCTCGATTAGGTAACTGAGCTCAGATGGCATGGAATGAGCAGGGGTAGGGGGCCTTCAGAACCAGGATTGGGGGCGCCTGGGTCGCAGTGTTTGAGTATAATCAGGACTTCAGCATCTAAGTGCAGTCAGTCCCAGGACCTGCAGCACTTGGTGGCCCTGAATGAGACTGTGGTACAAAGCTGTATTAAACCAGCTATGTTTTCAGAGAGTCATCTGAAAAGTTCTGTTCAGAACACATGGTTTGTGAATCCATTGAAAAAGCCAGAGTTTGAAGCCATGCACAAAGACAGCACATTGTTTTCACTCCTAGCACCAAGGAGGTTACTGGCCAGCCCCCTAATGACGATATCTTCAAAAGTGATTTTATTTTCCAAAAACCCAACTCTTATGTCCGTGATCACAGTGCTGAATGTATGCTGGGGCGTCAAACTGAGTACCTGGGGTCTTCTGATTCTTGTATGACTGAGAACAGCTTGTGTAATTAATTAACAGCAGAATTATTGATACTTCTAGCCAGGCTTGAAGGTGTTTGATCTGTATTTGTAGTTTTAATGAAGTGCATTCTTTCAGTAATGAAATGTAAATGCCCTTAAGAAAAATCTTTGTCTAATTAGTCAAGCACTTCAACTCTCCGGATAGGACCAAAAAAAACAAAACGGAAGAGACCAGGCCCTGCAGGCACTGCGTTTGACGCCACTGACTTACTGTGGAGGAGGAGCTCGGACTGCAGCGAGTGCCTGTTCTGGGTGGGCGTCACCGGGGGGCCCGTCCTGAGCGCTCCTTTCAGTCGGTTCAGTTTATTGTCAGATGCACAAGTGCAATGAAATGAATGCTTATTTGCATGCCTGCTTCAATACAGGGACGTTAAGGAAACACCAAAAACATAAACACAGAACAGTGGCAGCAACAACAAGTTAAATAACTAGAGGAAAAAAAAGCATATCAGTGTGAGCCAGTGGTAGGGGTAGAGTTCAGTAATCTGACAGCATTGTGGGAAGAAACCGTCTCTGAATCTGGACTTGCGTGCCTTTATGCTCCTATAACGCTTACCAGTGGGGAGGGGGGAGAAAAATGAGAAACCAGGATGACTGGTAGGTTGTGTGGGGTGTTTTTCTGCAGGCGGGTGTGAGCGAGCCCCAGAACCCCAGAACCCCAGAACGCCCTCTTCTGCCACCATGAGTGGGAAGAGTCTCCTGCTGAAGGTCATCCTGCTGGGCGACGGCGGTGTGGGCAAGAGCTCCCTGATGAACCGCTACGTGACGGACCGCTTCGACTCGCAGTCCTTCCACACCATCGGCGTGGAGTTCCTGAACCGCGACCTGGAGGTGGACGGGCGCTTCGTCACGCTGCAGATCTGGGACACGGCGGGCCAGGAGCGCTTCAAGAGCCTGCGCACGCCCTTCTACCGCGGCGCCGACTGCTGCCTCCTCACCTTCGCCCTGGACGACGCGCAGAGCTTCCGCAACCTGGGCTGCTGGAAGAAGGAGTTCGTCTTCTACTCCGACGTGCGCGACGCCGAGCGCTTCCCCTTCGTGGTGCTGGGCAACAAGGTGGACAAGGAGGACCGGCAGGTGAGCGAGGAGGAGGCGCGGGCCTGGTGTCAGGAGAACGGCGGCTGCCCATACTTCGAGACCAGCGCCAAGGACGACACCAACGTGGGCGAGGCCTTCGAGGCGGCCGTGCGGCAGGTGCTGGCCGCCGAGGAGCAGCTGGACCACTCTCTGCTGGGCAGCGCCATCGATCTCCATGGCAACCGCAAGCCCACCCGCACCTCCTGCTGTTAAGCCCCCCAACCTCTCCCACACCCACCCCACCCGGCCCCAGGCCTTAGGCCCCATTTCCCTCCCTCTCCAAAAGCCCTTCGTGCCCCTAGCAGTCACGTGAAAAATGCCATGGAGAGACACCCGTGGGTCAGCTGTCATAGGAGGGAAACCACAAAAAATGGGAGCTGCTCCATTTGCTCCGTCCTTCATCCCTTCCTCAGAGGGCTCCTTCTCGTCCATGCTGTTTGGACCCAGGGCCAGTAGCTCCACAAAGCCTGGGGCTTTCAGTTTCTGGATCACTTGTGGTTTGTCTCCGTTGGAGTGGGAGTGGGAGCTGGCGTTGGAGAGGCAGGCCAGGCCCCGTTCCCTTTGGAGGGGTCCTGAGAAAGCTTCCCTCGCGGTCCCCGTTCAGGGGTCTCCCTTTAGAAAACACCCCCCTGCCAAAACACCAGAGCCCTGCCATCTCTGTGTCGTGTCCTGTTGAAGCCGAGACGTAACGTGCCCACCCCAGAGTGGGAATAGATCCGAGCCTGTGTGTGCGTGTGTGAATCCTGCCATCGAGACAAACGGGGCTGGGGAGAATTGAGCTGTGTTTTTGTACTACTGCTTGATCTTTATATCTCTTTTGTTTCGTGTTGCTTCAGCTCATTTCCAGATGCACTAAAGTGCGGAGCTTACAAAATGCTGCTGGGATTTGGGATAGTTGTGAAAAACGTTCAGGGCTGGTGAAAACTTTCTAAAAGAAGGGACGTTTTTTTTTTTCCATTTTTAAAAAGGGATACAGAGTTTTTGCCTTTGTACGGTACGTTACTTTTCTGTGTTTAATTTATTGTGAGGATGGGTTACGAACAGCCCCAGTTGTTTTGTGTTTTTGTTATTTTAAGAACAAATTATTTTTAAAACTTGCTGCTGTGCTTTTATACTCTGCTAACTAGACTTTGTAAACCGGAGTAAGTGCTCTTCTGGATGGCCAGAGCTTCTGTCAGGGATGGAACAGGCCGTGCTGTGTAGAACAAGCCAGAACTTTCATCGGCCTTCACAAACGCACAGGGCTCTCGTCTGGTGGGGGGGCAGTCTCCACCACTGCCATTAACTTGGCAGATATTCCCTGGCGGTCTTTGTCCTCTCTCATGTCCATTCCTATGCACAATTTCCTCCCTTTACTCTTCCTTTCTTGGCATTCAGTGGAAAACAAACAAACCAGTTTCTCCTCTCCTTCAGACCTGCGTCAGTTTCCAGTCTAGACCTATCCTTGTAAACTTTTGCTCTTCCTGTTAGAAAATGGTGAGCAACTGTGGTTTTGAAGCAAAATGCTGTTCATACCCCCCCCGCCCCGTGGACAGTTATCCCTGTCGACCCAAAAGTGAAACTGGTGGATCTGCTTCCTGTATGCCGATTCTGCTCTATGACCACCTAGGGTGATGCCATCTTTGACTTCCTCCGGTGCCACCAGCTGCAGGGGTGCAGAACACAGCCGCCTGGCACTGGCATCGCCGCAGGCTGTGCACAAAGTCTGAGAAGCTTTCCAGGGCTTCAGGATTTGCGTTTTCTGCTGCACTAGGTGTATCATACCCTTGTTCCTTTCTGAAAAGAAACCAACTTGCTGGGGCCTGATTTAAAATGCTTTTTTTTAAGTAAGGAAAGACAGAGGCTTTCAAAGCGGGGGTGGTTTCAGTATATAGCCATCTGGCCTCTTCA